GATGTATATATATATATATATATGACACGATCAACTTACACCAATGTAAAATTAATATGTCATAAATCTAATCTTAATCGTTGATTCTATTTACATCTAATGGTTCTAGTTTAATTTATTACTCATTTGATCTGCTAGATACAAGTGGTATCAACAAGACAACAACTAAACATATGTGTGTGTGTGTGTGTTTTATCCTCTACTTTGAATAATTTTAACTGCTCTAATCTATTACTCACATAAGCCGTTAGAAGCAAATAGGATCAACAATTAAGATTGAGAGTATAACTTACATCGATATAAGATTATATGTGCATCTCTTTCTCTCTCTGTCTATATATATATATATATGTGTGTGTGTGTATGTATATGGGGTAGGATATTCTTACACTGATGTAAGAGTTAGAAGTTTTACACTCAATCTTGACCATTGATCCACTTGTATCCAAATATCCAATGGCTCACATTACTAAAAAAATTGAACCCTTGGATACAAGTGGGATCAATGGAGAAAATTGAGAGTATAACTTACACTGGTGTAAAATGATCCTGACCCTATATATATATATGGGTCAGGATCATTTTACACCAGTGTAAGTTACACTCTCAATCTTGTCCGTTAATCCCACTTGTATCCAAGGGCTCAAATTTTTTAATAATGTGAGTCATTGGATACAAGTGGATCAATGGTCAAGATTGAGTGTAAGACTTCTAACTCTTACACTGGTGTAAGAATATCCTGCCCCATATATATATATATCTAGGAAAAAAGTATTTCTACAACCACTTTAAATAATATTATTTACAGCTATCCCTTTTTAACTAAGTCTGACCAGTAAGACATAGTTATAAGAATAAAACAGTTTTTTTTTTCTCTTCTCAGACATTGTCGACTGACGTGGCAGACAGAGAAAATGCAATCTTTATGTCTTACTGGTGAGACTTACTTTAAAAGGGATAACTGTAGATAATCTTATCTAAAATAGCAGTAGAAATGTTTAACACACATATATGTGTGTGTGTCTTTTACCCTCTCATTTGAAAAAATGTAAGTATTTTTTAAATGGATTTAATGTTTCTACTTTTGTTGTAGGAAAACTTTATCTGACACAATCTTGTAAAAGTGAATGGATTCCACTAATATGTTTTCTTTCTTCTCTTTACAAAGAACCCACTCAGTTTTATGTGAGCGTGTCATAAATTTTTTTTTTTGGGAAACATTTTTTTCCTAATAAATAATAACTGCTGTCTGGACAAAGGATATAGCCCATCAAAATGACTCAACTTCCTGGACGGATTCGAATGACCTACACATTAAGGTTCAAGCCCTCATTTGTAAGCCCCGTGTACTGAAGTCTCATCTACTGAATTGATTGGTACCGAAGTCTCATCTACTGAAAATGGAATCACTTTTCACCCTATTATTATCACCATGTTATTATTTTGGGTTTGGTGTTTGTCATTTTAAATGACATAAGTTATGTCATTTTAGGAGAAAGATAGACACAGAAAAAATAGAAATCATGGGAAAGAGAAAGTAGTGATATTTTTTAATTTAAAATTTAAATAAATTTTTTTTCTGTGTCTGTCTCTCTCATAAAAGGACAGAATATTATGTTAATTAAAATGACAAACATTTTTTCCTATTATTTTTTACGCTAAGTTTACCTTTCTTTCACATTAATTGCTTATACTTTTTTCACTTTATTCGAAATTCCAAAAAGAGAAAATAATTCTGAGAATTCAATAATATGGTTTGGTTTCTTTTACGTATATCATGGTTAAATATATCAAGGAAATGTATTAAAGTTAACAAGATCTTTTCTTAATATGATACCAAAACTATCTATCTCCAATGGTGTAGCAAGTAATCATAACCACTCATTAATGATAAGATAAGAGAGAAAAAAGTATATGACTTTTAAATGAGTGATTATGATCAAATAACATAACCACTTTTTCACACGAGAAAATTCAAATCCAAATTTTATCAGGCACAGACCTCCTCATAAGAACTCAATATCAAATTATCAATCTTTGTTTTAGCATATAGGCATCATCGACCTTGAATATTCAACTGATAACTCTCTGGAATTGAACTCCATTCTGGGCCACAAAATCGATTGGCTTGGGTCAAAGATTCCTCGAGAAAAAATAAATACCGAACAGGCCTAAGACTTTCTACTAGAAACAAGAACAATACTTGCGCCACCTCCCTTTGCATATGAAAAGTCAAACTATCATGGGCAAACAATTTATTGATAGAAACCTACATAAATAGTTGACTTTTGTAAGAAAAAGATGTCTCAGTATCGTATCTCTTTCTCCAACCCCGAAACTAAATGCCTGTTTGAAGAGATTATTTCTTATGAACCGGGACCACCATTTTTTAGGTGGTCCCTTAGTGTAAATAGGAGGATATTAGAAAAGAAGAAAAATAACAAAGATAAAAAAAATAAAAAAAAAATTAATGAAGTGAGAGAGAACACTAAAAGATTCAGTGATCCTATACCATATTAAATATTTCTCTGTTTGAATTATTCTTATTTTTAACTTCTTTTCACTTTTCTCTTTATAAGCAGAAGTTAAGCCAAATAAATTTTGAAAAAAACTCTTATAACAAAAAATTCTTTTTTTATAAGAGGAGCTTTTTTTAAAACTCTTAACATTTTTTCTTAAATTATGTTTTTAAAAAAATAAAGAGCCATAGAGATAGAAAGAGAAAGAGACTTTTCTTGAAATGTGTATTTTTATATAATCTCCAAACAAATTTTAACTTTTTTTTTTTAGCTTTATCTTAAAAATAGCTTCTAACTTCAAAATGAGGAGCTAGAGGCAAAATAAAAGCAGCTGAAACATTTTAACACTACAACGAAGTTAATCACTATAAAAATCGTAAGCGGGGAACATATTTTCAGTACTCTATGTAATAACTATTTATCAAAAGTAGAAAAAAAATGACTGATGACATTACCCAAAGGGTGGATAGAATAAATAGGTTAGTTTTTCTAACTTAGTAAAGATGTCCTGAGCCTTTAGTACTCTAATATTTTCCTCATCGGATGCAAACACAAACTTCATTCTAGATTCCATACTATCCATTTCTAACCACCACCACTCGGTAACGGATGGCTGAAATCATAAACAAGCAAGCAAGTAAAATTCAGGTCTAAGAACCTGTTAGGAGCACATGATAAAGAAGATAGGATATGATAACTTATCATATCCTACTTTTATTTCTTGTTTGGTGAGTCAATAGAATATGATTAACTTATCCTATTATCTCATTTTATCCTATCCAATACATGATTTCTTATCCTATGGAGGGAGCTGAATTAGGATTCAACAAGATAGAATACCAATCTTGAATACCCAATATATCTCCCGCTACCCAATATATTTTCACGCTATCCAATATATTTATATTTATTGCATTATATTTTTTTTTATTTTTTTCCTTTCTCCTTTTACATAATCTTATCAGATTGCTAATCAGGTGTTCATCAAACACAGGACATACTTATCAACCTCATATCATATCCTACATTTATCAGCCCCATATCTTATCCTACTCTTATCATATCCTGTCCACCAAACGAGCCCTAAAGACGCTAATATAAACTTAACAAAGCACTAGTTGCAGAAGCTAACTAACCGTTTGAATTTATCAATAAATACAATTCATAAAAACCAGTTCAATTTTAAAATTAATTAAAGCAGTCAGTAACACGCAAGTATCCTGCCCAAAAAATTTATCATTTCACATCAGAGTAATTTCCTAAAGGTTGACAAATCTATTCGAATTCTATTTCATGTCCATAGAGCTATTTACATCACGAGTTTCTCCATCCAATTAAATGTAGAATTGAAATATAAAAAAATTCACATAGCTCTTTTTTCACTTTTTCTCAATGGTAGGGAAACAGGAGGAAGAAAGAGGAGTATAAACTGAGATTTATGCATGCGATGGAGGACATGCGATAATAAGTAAAGATTGGAGTTGATGAAAAGCAAAGCTGGAGAAAGACACAGCACAAATAGTTATATCCAGATTTATGCGTGAATGGTGAAAAGATAGCAGTGAATAACTCCTATAATCAGATAGAAGGAAGCCATTAACAGTAAAACACTCTTAAGGCCACAAAACTAATTAATACTTTTCAGGGGCATGACACAAGAACTTAGTGAACATCTTCAGACTAAAGTTCTAGATAGCATGCACATGCCCACAAGTCTGCACGGGAGCAGCATATTTTGAGGTAAACACAAGTTAATTTAACAGGCAAAAGAGCCAGAACATAATGAGGGTCCAAAGGGATGGTCAAGAGAAGATGGTAAAATGCCTACCGGTTAAAATAACAGCTAACGATTTCAGAACGTTTAAAAAAAGAAAGAATAACAAAATCAACATAAATAAGTCAGAGAAGTAGCTGTATTATGTTCTCTCCCAAGCTGCTCCCTTTAGAAACATTAACCAAATTTGAAATTTATTTCTTTATATTGAATAACCAAATGTACTAGGGAAACGTAGACAATTGGTCCCAAGTAAAATCATTTTCCCAGAGTATATATCCACAGCAAGATTAATCAACCTACTCAGTATCACCATATAAGGTGAGTTTTTCTTTTTCTAGGGCCTTTGGTCCCCTTTATCCCACGAAAGAGGCAGCTAAAGAAATCAACCAAAACAGCTATTAAATGAAATAAGGAACTACATGATATAAGAAAAACAAAATATGCTGAAGAAGCAAATATCGTTCATTGAAATCACATGGTAATAACCATAACATCAGTACTTAAAAACACCTTCCATTGGCAAGATAACATGAAATTAGCTATGCACTTTAAGATGTAATCCATTATATTACAAAAGAACATGAACTAACCTACAAAACAAATATTGTCTGTAATCCTACTCCCCTTTATGTTACAGATCAGTCTTCCATCTTACAGCCCTCTTCTCCAACTGTCCAATTGAGTTTCTGATCTTCAATATATAGCCTAATGTAAAACTTGTCAAAGTAAAAGGATTGCAACATTACAGTTATCAACAAAAGAGAAACAAAGGAATGGGAAATGAACACTACAAACAGCCAAAAAGAGCTCTTACAACTTGATTGTACATTACATGCCAATGAACAAGACTAGGATCTGTCCAGTTAGAAGGAAGCACCCCCAATAAAACATGTAAGCACGAAATGAGAAGACTAATGATCTCTCCACCTAGGACTTAAAATGGGGAAAAAGCCTGAAGGAGATAATGGAAACACAAGGCCTGGAGAAGGTGGAGGTTGAGGGCCAGGGCCTAAAATCCCTGATTGTGCCATGGCGGAAAATGGGAAATTGGGTGTAAGTGGAGATGGAAAATGAATGCCAGGTGACAGTAGTGGATAAGGTGACCGAGGGGATAGCAAATTCATGTAACCAGTTGGAGAAGGCAGAAGGAATTGAGAGGTTGGGGAAGGTAAAAGGGGAGGGCCATTTTCTTGTGGTGAAGGAATACTAGGCACTGCAGGATTAGTAGCATTCATAGGTGGCACTGGACCATTAAATCTTGGAGAAGGGAACATGGGCATGGGAGGATTAGGAAGCAAAGCAGATGAAGGAGGTTGATGCTGAACATTGCCCGGTGCATGGGGTTGAGGGTGTGGATGTGATTGAGGATGAACATGGTTACCCCTCAGACCTGGATCCATCATTGAATTCTGAAGGTAGCGCATGTAGGCAGAGATGGGTGACTCAGATGTATTAGACCATATATCCCCTGGCGTTAATGGCTGCAAAGGAGTGGGTGATGGTTGTCCAAACTGAGCAGGTCTAGGTAAGGCATTATTGTACGGAACTGGAGGAGGGCCTGCAGGCACTGGCATTGGCGGGGGGAAGCGAGGTCGGTTGACTGGTGTTAACGGGGGAGGTCTAATTTTCTGCAGTCGCATGCTCTGTGGTTTTGGTGAATTGTGTTGAGGTCTAGGTGGAGGATCCTGTGAGTGTGAGGGCGATCCAGTAAGCTGCTGAACAATATTCCGGAAATCGTTTTTGCTTATGTTGTAAACGTGAGGCTGAGGTTGTTGTCTAGCAGCATTATTACCAAAATTGGGCTGATGTAAAGGGCTCTTCTTTATATTTTTTCCCATTCTGTTCACTCCCAAACTATCATTATGCCTGTTTTTGGAGTTATCCATTTGCAAAAACAAACCCAAAACCACACTTCCTCCAATAAGAAAAATACCACTTGTTTTCCCCTTCCAGTAAAACAAACCAACCCAAAGAACACGTTGAACTTCAACAATTCTAATACACTACATCAACAAACCAAACTTGAGCAGTAAACTAAGCATCCCTGAAGTCAAGCAAATTCCAAACTCAAAATCAACACCAAAAATTTCCAATTTGAATCTCAATTCGATCGCGAATCTTTATCATAAATACAGGCAACATACAGATCAATCCCACCAAAAGCACCCAAATTAACCCTAGAGCCGAGGTAAGAAGCAGAAAACATACCCTTTTTCGAGCTTAGCCCGAAATCCAAAAGAACAAACAGACTGAAAAACCAGCTTCAGAAAATTTCGCAGAATCCTCAGCACCAATGTAACCGGATCAGATCGAAAAACCAAACCCCAACACGTGGGAACCGCAAAGAGAAGGCCCCAGAAAAGGGGGGTTAAGAAAAATTGAAACTTGAGTTTGAGGGAGTAAGACTTTTTCAGAAAATCGAAAAGGGTATGAAAAAAAGGTCCACCTGAATCTTCGCAAGTGTGAAAGAGGAAAAAACGAAGGAGGAGCAGAGAAAAGTAGAAAACCCTAAGGTGGAAAAGAGAAGAAAAAACACACGTTGGAGAGTGGTCAATGGGGGGAATGAAAGTTAGGCATCAGCAGCGATTGAAATTGGGGTCCAAGCTGAAAGCTGAATGCTGATGGGGATGGAGGGAGGTGTGACTTGCGAATTGGGATGAAAACTGCAAATGAATAACGAAGTTGAGTTTTACTATAACGTCAATGGCCTGTGATATGGGAATTATGTTAGATCTTTTTTTTCTTTTTTTCTTTTTTTGGAAATAAGATCTTTTTTTCTCTATAATAATGTTATCTTTTTATATTTAGTCTTTCTTTTATCATGGTTATTTTACCGGATTTGTTATTTGTCATTTTAAATGAAATAAGTTATGTCATTTTAAGAAAGAGATAGACACAAAAAAATGGAAATCATGGGCTATGATGCACGGATACGTACACGGGATACGACAAGACGTGCCGACACGTTAATTCTAAAAAATGTCATATTTCGACACGTTGGGACACGTTTTGATATTAAATAAAAATTTTAATATATAATATAATTTATATTTAATACACGTAAGAGTCCATAATAAGTCATATAACCAATTAAATATTTAAATTTCATAACATAAATATAAATATAAATAATTTTTCGTACTTTGTTAATTTTTCATGTCAAATTTCATAACAGAAAAAAATTAATTTATAAATTATTTCTTTTATATTTAGTTAACAAAATAAAATTAAGATTTAAAAAAAAAAAATGTCCGAGCGTGTCCTAGCGTTGATCGCTTGTCAGAAAAATGTGTCGGGACGTGTCGGAGAGTTGACCGTGTGTCCCCAAATGTTGACTGCGTGTCGGATGCGTGTCCGACACGCAATTTTTTTTGCAAGTTGCGTGTCCGTGCTGAGCTGATCATGGGAGAGAGAAAGTGGGTGTTTTTTTTTAATTTAAATTTTAAATAAAAAAATTATTTTGTGTTTATCTCTCTTAAAATGACATAATTTTATGCCATTTAAAATGACAAACACTTTTCCCTATTTTATAACATAAAAATTATCTCAAATATTTCCTTTTTTTTTCTAACCTTGAGTGTATGAAGAAATCAAAAATTATATGCTTTGAGTTAGAAATATTATTTGAACCTATGTGCCGTTTTTCTCTTCGTTAAATGATAAGTAGAAATATGTGAAAAAAAAAATAATGATTTAAATATATAACAAATTTAATATATGAAAAGAATAATGGTATAAACTTAGCAATCTTAAAGAGAAAACAAAAATCAAGAGAACAAAATCATGAAAAAAGTTCAATCTTATCTTAGTGAGAATGAGAACGCGTGATTTGTTGAGTTTGTGAGTGGAGTATTATGATTGATAAATTATGAAAGAAAAAGAGAGTTTGGTCGAAAAAGGAATGGAAATAGAAAGAATAAGTATGTGCTTGTTTTCATACGAGAGAAACTAGACTTATGTGAAAAAAAAAATGATAAAAATAAATCAATAGGTTTGATTTTATGATAAAAATTTATATTAGATTATCTGTTCAATTTCAGCTTGAATAAAAAAATAAAAAAGCAATCATATTTCTCAAATAGTTGGTAGAAATTTGTGAAAAGAATAATAATCGAAACTTGGAAATCTAAAGAGAAAAGAAAAGAAAAACTGAAGAGAACAAAAACAATAAGGGCCTGTTTGATTTCAATTTTTTAAAACAGTTTTTAAATTTTAAAAACAAAAAAATAAAAAATAAAATTTGTTTGGCAAAGCTGTTTTGTAAAAATAATTTTAAAAACTGTTACTAGATTTTAGTTTTTCAAACAAAAATTAGGAAACAACTAAATGATGTTTTGGTTCTCTTTTTTAGTTTTTTGTTCCCAAAACAAGTGAAAACACAGAGAACAACTATTCTCATTAATGGCAATGATGTAAATAGTGGTGTTATCTGTATTCTCATTTTACAATATAAGTGAAATGTATTGAGTTAGGATTTGAGGGCGGCAAATTAGAAATCCTTTGAAGCCACTAAGCGTGCGCAAAAGGATTATCTCATCACCTCTTCCTCATGTGCAAGGTACAACTTCATTAACCTTAAAGCATCACGTAGTTTTGTTTAGCATATAACAGGTCAGCTTTGATTTATTTTTCTTGGATCCATTTTTGTTCCTTTTTCTTGAGTTGTTCCTTTACAATCGATTGTATGTTCTTTAAGAATGGCAGACCATCATTCTTCTTTCTCTCTCTTTCTAAAACCTCTCCCGGATCTCTCTTTGTGTGTAAACTATAGTCTGATGTGTAGATCTTAAAAAGTGGCCATTTGGATGGATAATTTGTCTTAGGGTTTAAAAGGGTTTTTCTTTTTCTTTTTCTTCAATGGCTACACCCTTTAGAATATGAATTGAGTGCCATGTTTCCGAATGTATTTGAACTCTGTCCAAGGAAAATAAACAGAGAACAACACATGAGAGGGATCATTTTGGGTGAGAACTCACTGAGTGACTCAACACACTTCTCCTTGTCACGAATTTTTCTCACGTAGAACAAGTTTTCAATGAAGGTTTGAATTTAAAAATATTTTTAGATTGGTATTTCATACAATTTTAATTTTTAAGATTTAGGAATCCATCTTTTGCAATATATTCAAGATGCTTAAAAGTTTTAACGTCTTTTAACAGATCATAATGAATTGTTTTTTGGACTTAAATTTAAGTCATTCTTAAGAAAATGTATTTTAATTTAATAAAGCAGTTCTTAAGTTTTTTTACACATATATAAGCAACTAAGGGTGTGTTACCTGTCAAAATTTCCAAATCATATCAAACTGCACACCGATTCTGCAAATCTCCCAATTAAACACTACTACATCCCAAGCGTCCTAACTGGGGTTGCTAACCATGTTTTCAAACTCTACATTCTATCTTCTCTCCTCCATGGAACACAACCAAAACTGATATCTTATACTACAATAATAAAATATATGCATAATCTATATGAGTTGTAAAGTGAAAAACTTATCTTTGTGCCAAAAATATTTGGAACTTAGAACAAGATCGAGATCCTCTTCCCTTGTGTTGAAATGATTTTTTCTCTTGAAAGTTGTTGATGATCTTTGCAGAAGTTGTAAACTTCAATTGAACTCTCACGTTCAGTATATGTTTAGTCTCTCCCCCTTTTTCTCAAAATCCATTGTTTTTTAAAGTGATATTTTTTTGAGTGTGTTGGTGAGAGATGAGTGTTGATAGGAGAAGTGTGTTGAGTCTTTTAGTGAGTTCTCACCCAAAATGATCCCTCTCATGTGTTGTTCTCTGTTTATTTTCCTTGGGCAGAGTTCAAATACATATGCCTTTTTCTTTTTGTTCATTTTCTCCTGTGAAGTAATTATTATTAGATGATTGTAGTTGGCTGCTACATAGGTGAGATTTACTTAGTATTTCGAATGTGTTCATGATTTCAAAAATGCAATTAAATTTAACATTTTGAAATGCTCATACCAGCAACAATAACAAGATTGTCTTTATGTTGTTCATTATAGATGGAAACCAATATTGACAAACATGAGTTAAAGGTCTCGCCAGATTCAATAGTTAAGTCTTTTATCCAGATTATGGTTGAAGAGGTTACCAAAGGAAATATGCAAACTGGTGTTTTTAACTCTAAACATGGAATTCCATAAAGGATAGGCTGAATTCCATAACTAACCGCTCTTTTGATGTTAAGCAAATAAAGCAAAAGTACAATAGATTGCGGTCCAAGCATCGTGAGTTCTCTTTAGTCTTGCAACACACTGGATTTGGTTGGGATGCAGAAACAAACATTGTTACTGCTAGTGAAGAAGTATGGCAATCATACATTCGGGTATCATTAATATTTTATTTGTGATTTATGATTTTACTTGATTGTCAACATTTTTAAGTATAATTCGATTATTTTTTAAAATTATTTTAGGCACATTCGGAGGCTGCTCAATTTCAAAACAAAAGATGTGAGCATTACAAGTTATTGGGAATCATATTCAATAGAAGTACTGCAACCAAAATACTTCATCATTGCTCTACTTAAGACCCACCCAATACAGATGAAGAACAAGAGCTTGAAAATTAATACCTTAATAATGGGGTTCATGTAGATCTTGATGGGGATAGTTCAAATGATGACATACAAACAAATGAGTACAACACACATGGGAGAAAGCGTAAAATTCAAGTAAGAGAGTGCAAGTCACACAAAAAGTCTAAAACATATCAAATGGGAGATGCACTTAAAGCATGGGTCGAAGCATCTAAAGTAAGAGCAGAAGAATCTTTAGCTAAAGCTGAAAAGTATAGGGTCACTCCTTCAGTTGACTATTCTATTGCAAAGTGTGTGATTGCCCTTGATGAGATTAAAGATATTGCTAATGACATCCACCTAAAAGCTTTGCAAAAGTTTATGGAACCTAGTTGGAGGGAAGTGATTCTTACCATGTATACTGATACGAGAAATATATGGTTAGATAGTCTTGATTGAGAACCTTTGCATGTGTGACTGATGTTTTTTGGTTGGGTCATGTTATGTTGTAGTTTGCTACACTTAAGTTTTAGTTTTGGTGCTGCAGTGTGGCTTTAGGGTTTATTTTGCAACTTTAGTATTGATCAGATTCACTTTGTTGTGAGTACAACTTTTGTTTTGCTAAAAACTTTGCTCTGATCATTTCTGTTAATGTGGACATAGATATTTGTTTTGGAAAATA